ATCACTCCCAGGCTTGACTTCTAAGGAGGTAAGTCTCCCTAACTTAAGGAGGCATGGTGGGACTATGGGTAGGATGAAGAAGCAAGGACTGACTGTGGTAGAGGCTGAAATGAGAAAATAAGGTTCTGAGTGCACAAAATGTTTGCAAATTCAAACCACGACCCAAAGAACAAACAAGTAATTAAAGCCCACAGAAAAAAAAAAGTCAGTTAATCAGCCAAATCCAAAGTAATCCCCTTGTGTATGCACTTGCCTGCTCAGTTTCTCTTAAAGGCACCTTAATTTTTTTTTTTTTTTTGGATTGGTTGTGGAGCTTGAACTCTGGGTGCTGTCCCTCAGCATTTCAGCTCAAGTCAAGTGCTTTAACACTTGAGCCACAGTGCCACTTCCGGTTTTCTGGTTGTTAATTGGAGATAAGAGTCTGATGGACTTTCCTGCTGATTGGCTTTGAACTGTGATCCTCAGATCTCAGCCTCGAGTAGCTAGGGTTATAGGCATGAGTCACCAGCACCCAGAGCCAAGACACCTTAAATATATGTCTCACTTTGTGTGTGTGTGTGACATATTTGTCTTGGTAAATTCATTGACAAACTCATGGCTCTGAAATCCATGAATTTCTATTTTTAATAATGTTCAAGAAATGTCCTTGTACATCTTAGTGACAATGGGATGGTTATAAGTCATCTTCACATCTTTCATATGATTGATGAAATTTCAGTGTCTGCATTTTTCTTCCTTTTAAAACATAGTCACATGCATTCATTTACTGAGGAAGATTATCTAAGTACTATTATTTTTTTTTTTTTAAAGCAAAGGAGCTGAGTACCAGTGGCTCATGACTTCCTACCTTCTCAATGGGCTGAAGGATCAAGATTCTGCCTGGGCAGAAAAGACTCCATTTCCAAAAATAAGCAGCAAAAAGCAGAGCTGGAGGCATGGTACAATGATAGAGCACCAGCCTACTAGCTGAGGCCCTGAGTTCAGTACCATTAAAAAAAAAAAGGAACAGAGACAAAACAAAACAAAAACCTCTAAACACACTTGTTTCATTTTTTACGGTGAATGGGCTCTTTGCTAAGCAACTGGAATTCTTCAGGAAGGATCAGGTGCTGCTGTTGTGTGGGTTCCACTTCTTAGGGGTCTCACTGATTGAACTGATTTAGCAGCCAACAGGTAAAATCTCTGACATTTGTTTTGGCTTTGCTTTTTTCTCATTTTTAAAAAAAATCTCAGTTCTATATCTTTTTCCACCGACACTGAATGAAATTTCGTGCACTAGATCTTGTGATGTCTGATGAATTATGAAAGAATCATTTGCCTATTTTTGTCCTAAAGATGAAGGACAAAGGGCGAACCAATGCAACAACAATACTCACAAGGCAATATGTTGAATATGAACTTTACAACTTGGGGGAGGGATTGGAATAGAGAAAATTGGAGAAAAATGAGGGAGGAGGCAACAATGTTTGACAAAAAAAATGTACTCACTACATTACATATGTAACTATAACCCCTCTGTACATCACCTTGACAATTTTTTAAAGTGTAATTTTGTTGTAATGGAAAGTTTCTTCATTTGGCACATTTTCTAGTTACTGAGAACCAGATCATTTGTGCATGGATATTGGTAAGAACACAGATTTGTATTCTGATATGTTGAGGCCTTATGCCCATGTTGTATAGAAGATTCTATTCCACACCACCGGAAATATCTCCACATAGTAATTATGGTTCATACTTGTATTAGAAGCTTAATACTTGCATATACAAGAGATGTTTCATTTACAAAAAGATTACAGAGGAACAGTACAAAAAAAATATGAGAGTAGATTCTATCAACTAGTATCTCCTACATGTGCCAGGGGAAACCCCAAAACACAAGCATTGTTTCCTGTCACATGTTACAATTTTGTTAGAATCTCATTAGTATAGACCAAGAGTGCATAGAGTGTGGCTTAGGAGTGGCTATGGCTACAGTTTGGCAAACTTATAATTACTCCAGAGAGCCAAACTGTAGCCATAGCCACTCCTAAGCCACACCCTATGCACTCTTGGTCTATACTAATGAGATTCATATAGCAAAATACTTAAAATAATGTTCCGAAGACTTTAATAATCTTTTAGCCCTAGCTAAGAAATAAGGCTTTTGAGTCAGGTGGTGGGTTTTTTGTTTTGTTTTGGTTTTGTTGGGGACAGCACCCAGGCCCCAAATTCAACTCCCACAATTATAAGTTTATTTGAAGATTCTGTCTCTTTGGAGGGAGTTGACTGTGTTTATATAACATCATAAGATTGAGAACAATTCAATTTTTGGTACCAAAGAATTGGAAGTGGTTATGGGGGTAATAGCTGTCCTAACTTTCCTAGGTGATTAAGAGTCATGCTTCTTTATTCTTCTTACTCTTTCCTTTGGGACAGTTTTCTTAGCTGAACTATGGAAACAAGGCAAAAGCTGAATTTGGTACTTATTACTCTATCTTCCTTTTTTGTGTTTTGTACTTTTTGTGATTATACTGGGTCTTGAACTCTTGAGCTGTTTGCTGAAGGGCTGGTGCTCTACTACTTGAGCCACCCCTTCAGTTCCAACTTTTCACTGGTTATTTGGAGATAAGTGTCTTATGGGAACTTTCCTGTCTAGGGTAGCTTTGAACTGTAATTCTCAGATTTCAGCCCCCTGAGTAGCTAGATGCCAGTAGTGTAAACCAATGGCATCCAGTATGCCTTTCCCTTCTTAATCAGAAATAAACATTTTCAACAATTTTATACAGTTGGAACTAAAGTGAAGATTTTCAAATAGATGGAGTAGAAAGAGCAGCTGAACATTATGGTTAGAAATGTGCTATCAGGGCTGGGAAGGTGGCTCAGTGGTAGAGCGCTTGCCTTGCATGCTCAAGGCCCTGGGTTCGATTCCTCAGCACCACATAAACAAAAAGAAAAAAGCCGGAAGTGGCGCTGTGGCTCAAGTGGTAGAGCGCTAGGCTTGACCTGAAGAGCTGAAGGACAGCACCCAGGCCCAGAGTTCAGGCCCCACGACCGGACCCCCCCCAAAAAAAAAAAAAAAAGAAATGTGCTATCAGAGGCAGGGAAGTTGGCTCAGTGGTAAGTGCTTGCCTTGCATGCATGAGGCCCTGGGTTCGATTCCTCAGCACCGCATAAGCAGAAAAAGCTGAAAGTGGCCCTATCTATGGCTCAAGAGATAGAGCGTTAGCCTTGAGCTAAAGAGCTGAGGGACAGCGCCCAGGCCTAGAGTTCAGGCCCCACGACTGACAGAAAGAAAGAAAGCAAGAAAGCAAGAAGGCAAGGTGCTACTATCTCTTACTGCCTCCCCTCCCCCAATTCATTTTCATTTTAGTGTCTCTGTTTACTGATGAAACAGTGAATTATGAAAGACTGCTTGTTGAACACCACCCCACTAACATATCTCCTGTGAGACTTTGGAAATGGAGAAGAGGGGATATTTTCCCTTGTTACAATGAGTTTGGACTGATACAGCAGCTAGTTGTGGCAGAAGCCAGACATCTCATGTCCTGTAGTGCCTGAGACAGTGCCTCAAATCAAAGTCCTGCTCCACTGAATCTCTGGTATGAAACACTGATGGGCCCTAAGGAACCTTCCAACTTTAAAGAACATCACTAAAAGGCTGGGAAGGTGGCTCAGTGGTAGGGTGTTTGCCTTGCATGCATGATGCCCTGGGTTTGATTCCTCAGCACCACATAAGCAGAAAAAGCCAGGCGTGGTGCTGTGGCTTAAGTGGTAGAGCGCTAGCATTGAGCTGAAGAGCTGAGAGACAGCGCCCAGGCCCAGAGTTCAGGTCCCACTGACAGACAAAAAAAAAAAAAAAAAAAAAGGAACATCACTAAAGTCTGGGGCATCAGGTCACATAGTCCAGTCTCTCAAATCCTACTCTGTAATTTACCTTATTTCAGTAATAGCTAACTCCTCGTGTGTGTGTGTGTGTGTGTGTGTGTGTGTGTGTGTGTAATTGCCAGTACTGGAGCTTAAACTCAGGGCCTGGGCACTGTCGCTGAGCTTTTTCATTTGCTCAAGGCTAGCACTCTACCACTTGAGCCACAGCTGTCTTTTGCTGGCTAACTGGTAGGAGACTTACAGACTTTCCTGCCAAGGCTAGCTTTGAACCTCTACCCTCAGACATCAGACTTCAGAGTAGCTAGGAGTATGGGTGTGAGCCACCAGCACCAGGCTTTCATTCTTTAGATTTTTTTTAACTTTAGTTTCACTCCTCGGAGGGCTCCCCACCACCCAAAGTACCCGTCTAATTTTATTTTATTTTATTTATTATTATTTTTTCAGTCATGGGGCTTGAACTCTGGGCCTGGGCGCTGTCCCTCAGCTCTTCATCTCCAGGCAAGTGCTCTACCACTTGAGCCACAGCGCCACTTCTGATTTTCTGAGTGGTTTATTGGAGATAGGAGTCTCACGGACTTTCCTGCCTGGGCTGGCTTTGAACCGCGATCCTCAGATCTCAGCCTCCTGAGTAGCTAGGAGGACAGGCGTGAGCCACTGGGCCAATTTTACGATTTTTAATTGTTCAATTTTTTGGAGCAATGTCTCCTTCCACCACTCTGCAAGTATCATAACAAAGCTTGAATTCTCAGTTCACTTTTGCTAGATTAGGTCACAAAAGCACTCAATATCCACATATATATATATATATATATATCCACATAGCTATATATGTATATGTCTATGTATATCTTTGAGACATGGTTGTGGCAGCCCAGGCTGGCCTCGAACTCGATATTCTCTTACCTCGGCGTTCCCCGGGGGTTATTATGCCACCACACGCGGGCGCGCCTCAAGCGAGGCGGACGGCCGGCGGCCGCACGAGCGCCCCAGCGCCGAGAAACGCGCGCGCCAAACCGCGCCGCTTACGTCACCTGACGCAACTTCCGCCCCTGGGCGCGCCTCCGGGCGTCCCCTTCGCCCCAGTCGGTGTCTACTTCCGGCGTTTCAATAAAGCTCGATTCGACTCGAAGAAGAGCTGTTCTTCCGGGAAAATGGCGACTCCCGCCCGTGCCCCGGAGTCGCCTCCGGCCGCGGATCCCGCACCCGCCGTGGGGCCTGCCGAGGAGGAAGCCGACTGCCCGCCGCCGCCGCCTCGCCGACCTCAGGTCCCGCAGAATGTCCTCGCTGCCCCGCGGCTTCGAGCCCCCAGCTCCCGAGGACTTGGGGCCGCGGAGTTTGACGGAGCTGCGGGAGATGTTGAGGCGCCAGGAGAGACTTTTGCGCAACGAGTAAGCCGCGGGGTCCCCCCCCCCCCCCAGCCCGTCTCCTCCCCTGCCCCGAGTCGGCGCCGGGCTGCCCGGGCGCTGCCTTTCCCCGTCTCCCCCCCCCCCCCCCCCGGCCTAGAAGGTCACCTTGGCCCCCGGTGGATCCCCGGCCGCCCCGCGGGCCACGGCGCGGCCTGCAGCGGCCCAGCCGAGCCCCGCGCCGGCCGCGTGGGGACGGTGCCCGGAGGGCGGGCGGGCGGGCGCTGCCGCCGGGGGGGGGGGGGGATATTCCATCAGCTCGGCCATGTCCTCCACCCCTTGGCACATCTCTGTCCCCTTCGCCAAAACGTGTTGACAGTTGTCGTGTCTAAATGGACCCAGGTCCGTACATCTGCCCTTACTGGGTCCGCACAGACTCTTGGCGTGTGCGCGCGCGCGTTTGCGTGCGGGTCTGTGGAGGGCGGAAGGCGGCTTGAACTCAGGACGTTGGACGCGCTGTTCCTGAGCGTTTGCTCAAGCTTGTCCACTTGAGCCACACCTCCGTTTCTGGCTTTTTTTTTTTTTTTTGGTGGTCGTTTGGAGGATGAGGAGTCTCGTGGACTTTTCCTGCCTGGGCTGGCCTTGAACCAGGATCCTCACATCTCAGCCTTCTGGGTAGGATCACACGCACCAAGCCACTGGCTCTCTAGATCTACTCTTAATGGACCTCGATCTCTCTAGAGCTACTCTTTTTTTCTTTTTATCTTCTTTTTTTTTTTTTTTTTTGGTGGGTGTCTGTCCTGGGGCTTGAAATCAAAGCCTGAGCACTTTCCCTAAGGTGTGTTGCTCAAAAGTAGCGCTCTACCAGTTGAGCCACAGCTCCATTTTCAGCCTATTGGGGGGTAATTGGAGATTAAGAGTCGCATGACTTTCCTCACCAGGCTGGCTTGGAACCTGGATCCTCATATCTCAGCCTCCTGAATAGCTAGGATTACAGGTGTGAGCCAACCAGCACCTGGTTTCTATATGTACCTTTAAAAAAGCATTTAATGACTTTGTTTATGTGTTACCAAGGAATGGAACCCAGGGGCTCCTGCATACTAGGCAAACACTACCACAAAACCATGATCCCAGCCCATATGTACTCAATGGAACCTAGATTCTAGGTTTATTTATTGATTGGTCGGTCATGGGGCCTGAACTCTGGGCCTGGGTGCTGTCCCTCAGCATTTCAACTCAAGGCTAGTGCTCTACCACTTGAGCCACAGCGCCACTTCCGGCTTTTTCTGTTTATGTGGTGCTGAGGAATCGGACCCAGGGCCTCATGCACGCAAGGCAAGTACTCTTACCCACTGAGTCACCTTCCCAGCACAGTAGATATTCTTAATGGAGGCATAGGATATAACAAGTGATTTATTAGGCAACACGAAGTTGCACTCTCATTCAGCAGGTAGACTGGATTTTAAGCAAGGGAGCAATAGGAGGGTGTTTTTCCCTTAAGCAGCTTTATATAATGGCTTGATGCAGGATGTTTTGAAGGAGTAAGAAGCAGAAGACATCAGGATATTTTCAGAGAGGTTTTCAACAAAAAGACTGTGAAGAGGGGTGAACTGGAAAGGTAGAATTGTGGAAGTGTGACAAGTGGAAGAGTTTGAATCTATAGTTAACAGACATGGCTATAGATTTCTGATTTGTATGGAGAAGCACTAACAAAAATAGAAAATGTGGAGTTGTGAGAGGGATTTATTTAAGGTTGGTTTTAAGTATGGTATGCTCTGCTGAGGGGAGAGAAAGCTAGACATTTGGTTCGCGAAAAACTGAATCATTAAAAGCTGTAGACATGAGCCTAAGACTCAGGAGAAAAAGGCTGGGGAAAGAAAGGATCTCAGTGGCAAAGAGGTGTTAATATGTTGAAATTGCTGGATTTAGTGGATGTAGTGTCAGAAAAAGAATACTGGGCCTAAAGTGTAAACTTCACTATCCACTTATATAACTAAAGAAAGAATTAGAAAAAGAATTTCTGTTATTCAGCAAAAGGAACAAACACTTCATGGGAGGGTTCCTAAGTAGAGACCAGTGTTTTCAGTTTATGAGCTATGTTGTTAACATAGCAGTAAATTAACTTTTTCTTGTTTTATCTAGCAAAAGTTACTCACTAATCAGGAACAACGGAGATGTCTTTAAAACACAAAAATATACAAATCTATGTTTCATTTCAGAACAATGATGTCATATTATGAAACCTCTGGAAAATTCCACTGTGCCCATTTGAATCTAAGGGACCAATGGCAATACTATCTTGAAATTATGAAATTTAGCCTTAAGGACCCATTCTTCAACCTCCTGGGTCTTGGAGATCACATCTCAAAAAGTGTTATATTTTTGGGACCATCTTTCAGAGGAAAATATTGTGCCTTTTAAATGTTATGTCTGAAGTTTTATAAATAAAATGGTTCTAATGTGTTTATATGTTTTTCCATTTGACAGAAAATTCATTTGCAGATTGCCCGACAAAGGTAAAAAGATCTTTGGCACTGTTGCCAAACTGAAAGCTGCCATTGCAGAACGTGAAGAGGTTAGAGGAAAAAGTGAACTGTTTCATCCTATTAGTTTAGACTATAAGCTAAGGCAAAATGCAATTTCAGGAGTTGATGTGGATGTAGATAAGCCCCAGAATTCTGACCAGATACTTGATACTTCATCACCAGTTCCTGGCTGTTCCCCTGTGGATAGCATCAAGTCATCTAAAACAACCTCAGAAAAGCAGGGACTTGTGCATCCTGCTCACAAAGACAATGAAGACACTCCAGAGGCTGAGTACACGGTGAGCAAGGGCCCAGCTTCCAACAGCAGAGCCAAGGGATCTTCCTCATCTGAATCTATTGAGCATCTCTCCCAGCATTGTGCTTCAGATCGAGACGACATCTCCTGCAGCCTTGACAACCTGTTTATTGACAGGTTAAAAAGAATCACACTTGCAGATCAAGGTGAACACCATTCAGAAGAAAAACTGAGTGCTGAAAACTCAACAGACCTTTGCAGTGGGACTCCTAAGAAGCCTCATTACATGGAAGTGCTAGAAATGCGAGCTCAAAACCCAGTGTCCCTGCCACATAAATTTAAAACCAACGTGTAAGTGTCATTTGAAACAGACCTATTATAAGTATGTGTGAAACTCAAAAAGTTGGAAGAATGCTTTAAGTTGAGGGAGTCTGTGTAAGCACTATTTGGAGATAGAAAACATTCTGGGAATACTTAGACCAGAAAACATTCTGGGAATATTTAGACCAAACTGGCTGAAGTGGAGGATTCCTTTTGAAAAATAACATTAGTTTTTAAACTATATAATTGAGAGAAGTTTTAAATAGCAGATGGGGAGTATTAAACTCAGGATGCTTAGCCAACATTTTCTAATAAACAGAGTTGGAGGGAGAATGTGTTAATGGGTTGTTGTTTTCAGCACCATTTGCTAGTGTACAGCTCACCCTTTGATGAATCCATAAGTTCAGAGAAAAGCATTGCAGGAGCTGGTAGACTCAGCATAAAGTGTCTGCAAACTGACAAGTAAGGGGCAGAGCTGTGGTGACACAGTGATATGAAAATTTTACTCCTCACAGAGATTAGGGGCTAGAGAAGGACCTAGGATTTATACCTTGGGTGCAGAATATTTATCTAAAGTTTTTTTTTCTTTGTTTTGTTTTTTTGTCAGTTGTGGGGCTTAAACTCTGGGCCTGGGCCCTGTCCCTCAGCTCTTCAGCTCAAGGCCAGCATTCTACCGCTTGAGACACAGCGCCACTTCTGGTTTTCTAGAGGTTTATTAGAGATAAGAGTCTCACGGACTTTCTTGCCTGGGCTGGCCTTGAACCGTGATCCTCAGATCTCAGCCTCCTGAGTAGCTAGGATTACAGGCATGAGCCACCAGTACCCAGCTAAAGTGTCTAAAGTTTAACCCCCTACCCTAGTACCTGTGATATGTTATACTGAAACTGTTTATAAACAGGGAAATGTTTATTTCCCTCCACTGGACAGTAAGTTCTTTTATAGATGATCTATGACTGGATTTACTGGGGGGGGGGGGGGGGGGGACGGCAGGAAGCAGGGGAAATAGCTTCAGTTCAAGTATAAGGTGAGAGAAGGAAAAGAAAAGATGAAAGAGCAGAAGTTTGTATAACTGAACACCACCCATGTTACCATATGAATATGAATAAACTGCTTACTATTTATCACAACCTTTGTAGGAGAATTACATGTTAGGATTAAAAGCCATTTTTGTTTGCATGCGACTGACTACATCTATAAGAAGAATGACCGAGTGTTTGATTGTGTATGTAAAAGGAAAATAGTCTGATAGTCTGTTTCCCTCTAGGTTGCCATCACAGAAAAATGACTCAACTGGTCATTGTCAGAGGGGAGAGCCGCCTGTTTCCTCAGAGGAGCGGCGGCGCAGGGATAAGCAGCATCTTGATGACATCACTGCCGCGAGACTCCTACCACTTCACCATTTGCCTACACAGCTGCTCTCCATAGAGGAGTCTTTGGCTCTTCAGAAACAGCAGAAACAGAATTATGAGGTATTTATTCTGCTTTTCTTGGCTTTGTTTCATGCTACTTTATGAGCTGATATTTACTCCAGGTAGCTCAAGGAGGAAAGGATTTACTAGAAGGGAACTGGTGCTAGAGAAATGGTTCACTGAAGTCAGGCCCTGAGACAATGTGCCACTGATTTTCAGTGTCACAAAGTTAGAACAACAGGCAGCCATGGAGGCAGTTACAGCTGTATATATGCAACATTGGTGTAGCGATTTATCAGGAAATGTGGGAACTGATTGCTTACTTTCACATTATCTGCCTGCTCCTGCTGAGATAGTAGAAGCAACAGTTATTCTTGTACTTTTTGAAACCTGTGTATCAGCTTCTCAGGTGCAGTCTTAATTCAGAGTTCTGCCAAGAGAATCAGGGGAATGTGGTTCCAAAAGAGGCAGTGCAGGAGGGTGGGAAGACAGTGTTGTGTTACTGCAGACATGGGCTCTGTGCTTCAGAGCATAATTTGTGAGCTGTGGGGAGAGCAGCTCCTACCTTAGGCATGTTAATCACATTTATACAGTACCCTCTCCAAAGATCCATGTGCTTTGAATTGAATTTTCAACATGTATATTGACAAAGCCCATGTGCAGATTAGTAGGAGGGAACAAAAATTAAGTGTGAGAACTCTAGGGGGAGTAGAGATTAAATAAACTTAGTAACTGTGAGTCTCCAAGAAGACAACATGCTGATCTCTATCCACATTGCTCAGCTAGATAGATTTTAGGCAGGTACCATGCACCAGCTAATTTGTCAGTCTGACAATGGCTTTTTATAAAAGCTCAACTGGCATTTTTAAGGTAGTCTCCCCACTCTACCCCCCATAGCCAGTTTTCTTTCAGCATATTAAAATTACTGCTAATTATCACTGTGTTATCAAAGAAATGCTTTCTAAGTTGTCTCTGAGATCTGAAATGCCTGCCTAAGACATATTTAGATTGAATTGACTCTTCAGCCTGAAATTGGCTTCCTTGGCACAGTAATAACAGGAGCCCCACCTCGATCTGCCTTTAGTATCTGCAGCTTGAAGGGTGAGGTACGATGGCAGTCACGGATGTGGGGGACAGTGTGGAGAAGCACGCTGCCACTGTGAATTTCACTTGGAGTTTTTGTTATTAATTTCTGACTTTCATTTGGAGATGGGAACTTGGCATGTTATACTAATGTCTAACTCCAAAACCTAGAGACCTTGACTTAACTCAGAAGGAAGGTTTTTGTTATTTGGAGAAATCTAGTGATTTTCCACGTAGGTCAGGTTGTCTTGTGTGTGCATAATGGTATGTGTGTATACATGCATGCGCCCACATACTTAGTATATCTGTGCTGTCATTTGCTGAGCTGATGGATCCTTTTCTTGCGCAGAGGTAGGTTATTCCAGGATAGCCAGGCTTTGCCCTGTGTCTCTGCTAGGACATAACTGTCAGCCCCTTTGTATTGCAAGTGGGGGTGACACTCCTTTATCTCACCTTTTTTTTTCCCATTGAAAGGAAAAGGATTTGAATGTGTAACTTGGGCCCTTGCTTTTTTCTATCTTTCTTTCTTTTTTTTTTTTTTAAAGGAGATGCAAGCGAAGCTCGCAGCACAAAAATTAGCTGAAAGACTGAACATTAAAATGCAGAACTATAATCCAGAAGGAGAGTGTTTGGGGAAATACCGAGAAGTAAAGGATGAAGATGCCGGGCAGTCCTCTGATGATGGATTCTGAAGATGGGCACTGGAATAATCTAAGCCTCCCACTGTCGAGATGCTATTATCTTACATCAGACTTCCTAACAAGTATCAAGATCAGTGTCAGACCTTGAGGGGAAAATTTCATAAAGTTACACAAAGGTAGCTACAATAGAAAGCCCATTGATCTTTCAGAAGATGATTTTTATGTGTTTGAAAAGTTTAATATCCAAGTATTGTGTTTAACCACATTGTATTAAAGTTTTGCAGTATGTTGTGCACTTGTCTGGTATTTTAGTATGTAGTAAAGCACATTGGTGAGTTTTTTTTTCCTTTAAGTCAAATGAAAGCAGGTAATTTTGCTTTTTCCTTATTTTTACCTCTATTAAATGGCATTTATTACATGTCTTTCGGTGTAATACTTGGTTGTTTCAGACACCGAATATGAGTTAAGAAGAATTGGTTCCCTCCTTTTTTAGGAAGGGAGCAGTGGAGGGAATTGAGGCATGTTTTCTTGGAATTAGTGAGATGTGGGGTGTGAAATACCCCAGAAAGCACTCAGAAAACGCTCCACAAATGTTTGTCCCCTCCTTTTATCTTAGGAAGACTGTCCTCTTGCTCCTGCTTATGAATGAGTAATTTGAGGAGTTGCTGGATGGTGGAGGGTCTTTCTAGAGGACCAGATTTGCCTACAGTAACTGAAAGGACTGCACTGGGTAGAAGTAGTGTTCAGGGTTTACCTGACCTGAGTTCTTTGCCTACACAGATGATAGTTCCATGTGTAGAGCTTCATGTTTGGAAAGGAAACCATTTATTTTAAAGTTATAGTTGAATGGTCAGCACATCGCGTTTATTCCCCCAAAGAGGCTTTTATAGACTGCGGAAACTTCTATCTCATATGTACATGTTGTTTTAAAATGATTATATGGTTGTCTCCAGAGAAATGAACACGTTCTCAGAAAATTTCTTTGTCTAATATGTGGAATCTTTAAAAGTATTGAAAAGGAAAATAAAATAGTAATTAAAGCAACTTCAAATGCTAATGGTGATACTTTCCTGGTATTCAGTTCAATTTAACTTCTTTAAAAGGACTGTGCATACATGAAACCCAAATATATTTAGGGTAGATGCCAAAAGACCTGGACTTGTGCCAGAAGGCCTCCATTCTACATCATGCAGCTTTTCACAGAAGGTCTTTGATTCCATCTTGTACACATTCATCCCTTTGAGGGAGGGGTCTTCCTGGTACCCCTTATCCTGGCACCAAGCAATGCAAAGCCAGCCCTCGGTGGTCCCTCTGCCTTTCTGTTACCTTTCAAGCATGTGTACAGGTCTTCGTTGCATTTTGAGTTCTCTCTTCAGTTCCATTAGCCTATTTTTTGTAATATTATACTACCTTATTTCTGACAGTTTGGTAGTAAGGGTGCAGCCAAGCCTGCCATCTTCAAAGTGGCTTGCACACTTTGGGCCCTTGGCATTTTCACATAAATGCATCATTTCAGATACCAATTTGTCATGTTCCACAAAAATTCCTTCAAAAGAATGTTAGACATTCTGTTATTAACTGCTTATTGCTAACAATCTATATTTTGAAACTGGGGAGGGGGGTTGAAACCTTGCCATTTACTAAAGCATTCTTACTATTTCTGTGAGGATGAATATGTTTAATTTCATTGAGTTAAATGGAAAATCAGAGTGTTTCTTAGTATCCTGCCTGGGCTGGCATCCTCAGGTTTAGGATTACAGGCATGAGCCACAAGTGCTCAGCTTAAAAAGTTTTATTTATTTATTTTTGTCAGTCGTGGGGCCTGAACTCTGGGCTTGGGCTCTCCCCCTCAGCTCTTCAGCTCAAGGCTAGCACTCTACCACTTGAGCCACAGGGCCACTTCCAGCTTTTTCTGCGAATGTGGTGCTGAGGAATCGAACCCAAGGCCCCATGCATGCAAAGCAAGCATTTTACCACTGAGCCACCTTCCCAGCCCTCTTTTTATTTTCAATAAACAAAATTCCTCTATTCCTGTTCCTCTCAGAACAACTGACTGGAGAGACGTGAGAACACCTCAGTGGTACAGCACTCTCCTAACATGCATAAGAGCACTTTCCTAACATGTATGAGGCCAGGGACAAATGGCTAGTAAATACATGAAAGAGTGTTCAACATCCATAGCTGTGATGTAAATTCCATTCCATCATCTCTCCTGATTGACTACTATTTAGAAAACAACAAATGTTGGCAAGGATGTATGCGTGTATGTGTGTTTGTGAAAAGCCCAGTATGGAGCTCCTTATGACTTTGTCATACCATTCTTGGGCATATATCCAAATGAGAATAAATCGATATACAATAAAGATACCAGTATATTTATACTACAGCTCTGTTCACAATAGCTGAACTGGAATCAGTTAAGATGTCTAAACAATTGGTGAATGGAAAAGAAATTTCATATACATATATATATATATGCACTATATACATGTGTGTTTATATTCACATATCTTCATACAATGGAATATTACCCAGCATAAAGAAAAAATGAAATGTCATTTTTAGGAAAGTGGGTAGATCTGGAGATGACTGAGTAAGAGACGAACTCAGAAAACTTAGCAGTGCTTGTTTTCAATCATGGTGGTGGTAACTGGACATCTAAAAGAGGGACTGTCTAGGAAGGGATTTTTAGAGGTGAAGTGGACTAAAAGATCACACACACACTGAAATGTATACCATATTGTTCTTAATTTCTTTAGTCCCTCCTTGTCACTTAGTAACTGACTATACACTATTCAGAAGAGATAAGAGGTCTGGGTCCCACAAGCCATGCTTCCCCCCCAGCTGAATCTACGGATATTCTCCATAGATTTAATGACATGGTTTGTAACACTACAATAAAGTTAGGGAAGAAAGATTCATCTTCATACGGGAGAAGTTGAATGCCTGGGCTAAATTTTAAAACTATCCAGCTTTTATGGAGAACATTACAGTTATTTTAAAATGTGGTAAGTCTCATTGACTAGCTGCTTGACAGCAGGGGAAAACTCAGAGCTATTATTTTAATTTCTGGCTAAAGTGAGGGAGCTTTGATACTCAGCCGATGAAATAAACCTAGTGTTGGATAATACTGAACTAGAGCCAGACCACAAATCAGGCACGATTCTGAAAGCACAGCATAAAATGCTGAACAATTAAATATGATCTATTACTTCCCAGATGAATTTAGAAAACTTGAAATACATAAAGGGCAAAAAAGAGGGTAGGCCACTAGAATAGCATTAGATTATTAGGTTTAGGATTTAAATACCACTATTTCCTTCAAATACAGTGGAAGTTAAATACTCTCTTGACTATTAAGTCTGTAGGATGAAGTCAATGACCCCTTATCTAAAGGACATGCTTTGAGAGAATGACATTTCAATGCATGATCTTTAACACACAGAAGGCTTAAAGTCTTCATATGTAAGCCTTTTTGTAATAGTGGTTCCAATTTGAACTGGAGTAGTTTAGGAGGCATATATGTTCGTGGGGGGTGGGGGAGGTATTTTTTGTTGTTATTTACATTACTTTTTTTTGGTGTGCTAGTACTGGGTCTTGAACTCAGGGCCTGGATGCTATTCCTTAGCATTTTGGCTCAAGTCTAGTACTCAACTACTTGAGCCACAGTTCCACTTCCTTTTTTTACATTTCTATTAAAAAGATTACTCCTCTTTTGGTTATTTTTGGAGAGGTCAACATGAAGCACCATTCTGAAAAATACCAGAAGGAATAGAAGGCAAATCTTAACCTTGAGTTCTTAAGAAAGGGAGAAGATAACATTTGCTTTGTGATGTATAAATGGGAAAACGGAGGCATGAAGAAGAATGGAAATTTGCCTATGGTTGCACAACTGATTCTGATAACAGCCCTTTTTTTTTTTTTGCCCTAGCGCAATGCCATTTGTTTTAGGTGGAGTTGTCTTATAATTCCTTAACACATTTTCCATAAGTACAGAAAAAGCAAAGTGCCAGAAATTTTAGTTTCAACTCTAAAACTACATCAGTGTTTAATTTTTTTTTTTTGGATCATCTTCAGGATTGCAACTCGGTCTAGTTACTAAAAAGCACATGGAAAACATGCTACCTGGTATTTATAAGTATGACCCCATTTCTCCTTTTCACTCCCTAACTTGGTCTGCTTTGAATTTGCCCACTTTCCTCAACACCTCCTCCTTTTAATCTTCAGCAATTTAGCTTCCATCAGCCTACCAAAATTTCTTCCCCCTCCTGCGACATCTCAGTCTTCCACCACCCTCCAGAAGTAACAGGAGTCTAAACATTATTGCTAGCTAATTAGCATCAATCAGATCTCATTAATCTCTTGGTGCACATCAGCTTCTTGGAAGACTTTTCTTAAAGGAAAGCAGGACATCATGAAGGGTTGTCTGTTTCCACTGCCTTCTACTCCTTTCCTCATCATCTTGAATTTCAAGTGAAATTGCTTTTTAAAAAAAGGCTTTATCCAGATCACCAATGACCAGGCTGCTAAGTTCAACAATCAATTCCCAGTGAGCACTCACAACAACTCTCTTAGCAGTACTCATGGCTGCTGCTTCTAAGTTTCCCTTGCAGATTGTTCTCATCTTCCCTAAGCACTGAGATCCCAGGGTTCTCTCTTCCCCATCTCTGTCACTCTCTTGATAACTGCCCCCCCCGCCCCCCCCATACTCTCTACCCCCATCCAAACTTGGGTCTCCAGCTTGCATCTTCTGAAATCAATAGCAACAAAAGTGCTCCAAGAAGAGTTGAGATCAGGATGTTTGGTGGGGGCAGTGATAGTGGCTGAGTTCTTGCTTTCCTATTAACACACTAGTATTCTCAGCTATAAGTTAGAATTTGAATGTACCATTAAAAAAATATGAATCCAGGCCTGTCAGTTTCTGTCCAAATATACGTCTTCAACAGAAATCCTAAGAAAAGGGGAATTCGGTGATCAAATGATTCTGTTGCCTGGCTTGTGGGAGGGCCTTTGATCCAGTCCCCTACTGCCCTTGTCCACACTCGAGTCTCATGACAACAATATGTGGAAGGGAGGAGGAGAGGATGAACATTATATTATAGTAGGTAAATACTTTTTTCACTTGAAACATGAATCCTTATTGCCACCCCAAGTCAGACCAGGTACTTCCTGTGAACCACGCACCTTCCTGTGGAAGGAAGCAATGCTTTAAAGAGGCCAGTTCACCAAGTTTCAGACAGTGACAGCTGAGAGCCCTGATGGGCTCTTCCACTTGGGAAGGGGGGGCGGTG